CAAACTTGGTCGGAACATGAGAAGTGGTGAGACACATGAACTTCTTGACTGAGGTATGGATTGCCATGTTACTCGTGTGCAAAGGAGGTTCTTCTGTGCCTTCTTCATCTGAATCTTCCCAGGTTGCCTTCAGAGACTTGTTTTTCTTCTTAAGGTTAGCACACTCATACTGAAAGTGTCCAAAGCCTCGACACTCCCTGCATTGATCCTTCTCAACTCGTTGTGAGTCGGGTTTTGAGAGAGGCATACTACTTTTCTTGTCCTGCACCACATTCTTGTTGAAATTGTTGCCCTTTTTTCCAGCAAATTTATTCTTGTACAGCCTTTGACTCAACTTCCCATAATTTTGCGCAATTAGAGCTAATGTTTCTTTCAGCTCACTATCGTCTGCCAACGGACCTTCATCGTCATCGCTTTCTTCTCTCTCCTCGACTACAGCAGCTTTGAGAGCTAAGCCCTTACTTTTGACTTTGTCATAATTGTTGTTGATTTCAAACGTCCTGAGCTCTCCGAGAAGTTCATCAAGATCCAGAGATGCCACTCTTTGGAAACTCTCAAGAGCTGTGATTTTCTCTCTAAACCTGGGAACGACGGTTCTCATAATCTTTTGCACTTGACGCTTTTCAGAAATTTCTTCTCCAAGCATCATACTTTGATTCACCAGATCACATGATCTAGCATAGTATACGTCAATTGTCTCTTCATCCCTCATTTTGATCTCATCAAATTCAAGAGTTACCCGTTGAAGTCTGGATGCTTTGACAGCCGTTGAACCTTCGAATTGAAGCTGTAGAACCCGCCAAGAATCTTTCGCAGTCTTACAATGAACTATCATCTTGTGTCTTGTTTGATCTACTGCCATCATGATCACATACAAGGCACGATAGTTGGCTTCTTCTTGAAGCTTCTCAGCATCTGTCCAATTGTCTTTAGGTTTAGGAACGGTGACTGTCGTAGCTCTTTTTCCTTGATCGGGTGATTGTGACGTGACTGGATGTTCCCAACCATTTTCAACACTTTCCCACACACCTTTTCCAAGTGATCTTAGAAAAATTGTCATCATAGACTTCCAATACGAGTAATTTGAACCGTCCAATTGTGGAGGCCTAGACATCGATCCACTTTCTTGATTCATGATCGCCCAGTAACCCAAGTCCTCATATCTTTTTGTAATGCAACGAAAACCCGCTCTGGTGCCAATTGATGTTTGATACTTGTACACCAAGTATCCATAGTTGCACGTAAATAGAACAAACAGACAGTAATGAAGATTCAAACAATTGCGGAAGCAGTATTCACTAAAAATTGAACCTTCAGGAGAGCGTCCCACTCTCCCTTCAGATATCTTTCATTAATGTGAACAACTCAGACATCATTCAAAGGTTTACAGTATAGACTCCCTCTACACTCTACTTGAATAATGATCCACACAACTACTTATCTAACCACAACTCCCTTGTGAATTTTCTAGTTCGAATCCCTCAAACTATATCAGAATGAACCTCCGAAAATTCTGTTAAAAAATGGGTGACTAGTTTCCCCAGCTCCTCCTTCCCCACGGAGCGGTAGGAGCACTACCTAAAAGGGTTGGCAGGGCACGTAGGACTGATTTTCAAAGGTGGTAGTATGAAGAGAACTGCATTCGGGTTTGATGTTTAGTCCTTTCTTTTGTTAGGGGCTTTTCTATGTAGGCCATGGGGTTTAGAACACTCCACTCAACCACGATTAAGACCAATAAAGCGCGGAGAGCAAGCAAGAAGCACCTGCCCCAGAAAGCCTGCTACAAAAAACACCATCCGATTTCAAAGTCGCACGATCTAATTCAAACATTTCACCTAATTGAAAGCTTTCTGAATATTTCTCTTTTCACTCAAGGAAAGAAACATAAAACTCAAAATGAATTCACCAAAAAAGTCATCTACAACTCTGGTCTCGTCCTCCTTTTATCTTCAACATCATTTGGTAAATCTTTGCGCCCAGGTCATATATGCATAAGGAAGGTGAATCCCACAATCTTCTTCATCTTTGATTATGGAAAGAGAATCTTGCCTTCAATCTTATCAACCTGCCAAGATGAAAATACAAATAATTAGTCAATTTGACTTAAATGAAAACAGGTCTCATTTATACCAAAAATAAACTTCCCTTAAATACTCCTGCATATTTCTGAACTCTGTTATCATTAGAAGGTTCATCGATTTACTGCCAATAACCAGAACTTACAGAAGTGTTTCGAACAGAAAGATCACCTATCAGTTCCTTATAAGACTAAACTATTCGTTCACAGTCTAGACAGGCAGTGAGACCCCTCTTGGAAAAAGACTGTAGTATATTCTCGATTCAGTTGGTCTTTTAATGAAGAATTATACTAGCACTTATGATAAGTGTTGAACAGGACTGCGGAAGGATAAAATTACGAGACGCACTGATCGTTTTTGTAAACTAGACCTTCGTTTGATGCATTCTCTTAAGCTGTAAGATAATATAAAATAAGCATATATATTATTTTCTTGTTTATTTGATTTACCAAGTGATTCTTATTTTTATTAGGATGACATACGAGATATTTTGGTAAATGAGAATGATTATATGATGTGCTATTATAAATTATTTATGGTCACTATGTTCCAGTGCGCTGGATTGATGACGTCCCCGAAATGAGCTCAGGAATGTACATTATGTTAAAACCCTGCAGGTAGACGATTGTCTGACATAATGGTTAAGGATCTAAGTGGTACTAATTTCAGAAATGAATAAGAAGTTGATTAATTATTTTATCAGTAATTTAATTAATCAACGGTTGTTATATCTTAAACATAATGAGGTAAATCGATCAATCAGATTAATGTTGTTTAATCATGGAGGTTCGAATTTATTGATAAATTAGGAGCTAAATGGGGAGAGCAATAATATTACTTTAGTGAAATATTTTATTAATTAATTTTATTTAATAAGGAATCAATTTTATTCCATATTTATTATTCCATTAGGAAAGGAATATTCCTACTAGAATCTTGTCTAAGGTTAGGAGACTTAGGAGTCTTCTAGAAGGTGATGAGTAGTAGGAGAGTCCCATCCTAGATTGGATTAGTAATTGGAGTAGAATTATGATTCCTTGGCCTAATGGGATAAGCCCATATTTAGCACCTTCTTAAGGTCCCTAATGGAGCCTATAAATACACCATGTCCCAACCTCTCCTACGATGTGATGTTGGCCGATTTTTCTCTTCTACATACACGAGAGAATAGCATCGTTCGAGAGTTAGGGAGATTCGATTAAACGCTTCACCAAGTTTAATCGAAGTAGGTGTTTAGGTAATCGGTTAGAAGGCTTTTGAGTACAATTTATTCAAGCCTTTATACACATATTTTTCGGTCACCTTCCTCGGCCAATAGCCACCATCCGCCTCCGTCGACCGCCGCCGGAAAAACCACCGCCGTCGCTCATCGCTGCCGGAAGCCGCCTAGTGCAGCCGCACGCAGCCGCAAGCCAGCAGCCACTACCGCGTGCAGCCATACAGCATCGCGAGCCGCCAGCGACGCCGGCGAGTTCCCAGTTTCGTTTGCTTGCTCGCGCATCGCACCCGCTGCCAGGCACCGATCGCGCGAGTTCCCAGCGCGCGCCACTGCAACGCGCGCACACTCCGCGAGCGTCCAGGTAACTTGCCGCGCATACTCGCGTGACCCCAGACGCACCGCGCCAATCCGCAGCGGTATAGGAGTCCCGCACCAACACGCGCGACACGCCCCAACGTCCGTTCACGCTGCCCTGCATTCTGCGCGTCACGCCAGCGCCCGACGTGCACGCTGTCCGCGACCTACCAGCAACCGAGACCCACGATCGAGCCGCTGCACCCGACGCCGAGACTTAGCAACCGTGTGACCGAGCTTCGTGGAACTTTCGATTAGGATCGAATAAATGCCAATTCTATATGCCCATTAGATTGTGGTGTTCAGACGAGTTACATCAACGGTATTCTACATCGTCTCTGAGTCGGCAAAAATTTTAAAAGGTAATGTTCATATCTTAACTATAGATTCCGCTGCGTTAGGATTTATTTCGATAAGTTCAATACTGTGCATGTTGTTTGATGTTCCTCATAGAACCCAACAATAAGTTTTCAGTTTGAGATTTTGCAAAAATTTTATTCTGATTTTCATAAATAAATTCGGTAAATTCTTTCAAATAAAACGGGCGTTACAGTACTCTAGGGTCTCCCGAGAATTTCTTTGTAATTTTTGTAAGGATACGCTTGCATATTGTTTTATTGCATCTCCTCATCATTTCATTTCCAGCATATGAAGTCATATTGGATGAGTAACAAGCTGGTAACAATTTAAATACAATTTCACTAACTTATGTCCTTTAGATTAATTTCATTGTAGATGCACTTTAGATTAATTTCATTGTAGAGGATTAGAAGAGTATTATTACCTGAAGTCATATTGGTGATGTTAATATGTTCAAAAAAATATATCACAAATGTGTGCATGCCACATAAGCAGTGGACATTTTAACATGTGTCCACCGTGGGTAGGGGAGCATTACTCTTTATTTTAATACCAAATATATAAAAACAATAGCTATAATCATAAGTCATAACATTTCAATAAGATAAAAATTGAAGTATCACTGACAATATAAAAAATTTTATCCATAAAAGGCCGACCCCCACTAATACAAATTGTTTCCAGATACGGAAGAGAAGCGCTAGACTTTGCACATCTTAAGAAGAAAAGAACATGAAACTCCAAAAAATGTACCATTTTGAGATTGACAAAAGATGAGAAGCCCATTTAGTCCAAACAGTAATCCTTTAGGTCCTAACAGTTACAAGAGCTTCACTCAGAGTAAGTAATCTCCCAATGCCTAGGATCCAACAGTTACCATGTTCGGGATCTTTTGTTTCAAGCAAATATAAACCATAAGTGTCCTTCAAAATGCAACTAATTAATAAATATTGATCGCTCCATGAAGATATTACAGCAGAAAAGTTTCATTACCAAGATGCATTGTCCATCGGACCAACTTCTCTATACCTTTCAGTCATCCTATTGGAAACTCCCGAAGCAAGCCACATCCAATAGTAACGTTTCAGCGGGTATAAAAGTGTCAGGGCATCACAAATGGTATCGAAACAGTGAAGTGGATTATTTGTGAAGCTTAGAGAATTGACTCCATCTATAACCTCAGGACATGGCTCATAGCCTTGATATGCGAGCTCGAGGAGCGTGATCAAAGCAAATCCATATGTAGCTTCAGCGGCGAGTATCCCCTCAACTTCATCCGCAAGCATATGGTAGTCATCGATGAAAGTTTGTATAGGAAGAAACTTACAAAAGAGGCAGTCCAGTGCTTCGCTAAACCTGGGGATCTCCACTAGAAGAGAGATGCGCCTGAGGTACAGCCATGGGTTTTCAAATGTGGGATAATCCAAAATGTATTTAATGGCTTGTTCGAACTCCGCAAACGGCGAGGATCCACATTTCACCACAACATAGAATCTCTGCAAACACACGGTTACAAAGATTACATGAAGATAAAATCAGTGATCCGGCAGAGACAAAAAAAAAAAAAAAAGAACGGATTATAAGGTTGAGAGGGACCCCAGACAACATAGAAACAATATCTCCAAGAATCGTACTGCAAATATTATGAGTAATGTATTACATTTTTCATCTTTTTTTTTTTTAACAGATTTTCTTCCCACAAGATTTCCTACGGGATGATGAACATAAAACCCTATAGCGACAATATGGTCTGATTTGGTGCAACAGCTCATACGCATGGGGAGAAAAAACAGTTGAAATGAAGAGGAAGAAGAGGGAGACAGAGAGGCAGCTACTTGCATTAACTCTTATTCCCAGTAAAATATATGGTCATGAAAGAGAGTAATATGGGTTATATTTATTTTATTCTTCGAACTTACTATGCGGGGGTTCTTCACTCCTAAAACTATAACAATAATAAACCATATAAAATCCCACAAGAAAATACTTCTTTGTTTTTGTACAGTTAAAATTCTTTTACAATTTTGTGTGCAGTATATTCGTTTTACTAGTCTAGTAACACCAGCGGTTAAACTCATCCGACCGGTTGAACCTCAATCTCGTACCATTTGACTAGGCCGGTTCAATCTCGGATTTTATTGGACGAGGGGAAATTAAGAAGTCTTGTGGATTATACACAATAATATCTTGCAACCTCATTGAAGCTGAATCAACTAAACAATAACTCACTCATAAACAACAGTCGCAAAGCACAATGTCCCACCAACAAACAAGCAGATCTAGAAAGAAAACACCAGATCGGTTGCATCAGATATCTACCACATCTACCTGATCCCAAACAGCGCTGCTAGTAGGGTCACGTATAATGAGTTCATTACAGAGTTGAAGTTCCTCTTCCAATCTTCCCGTGCTTTCAATGGCCTTGTGTACAAGGAAGTTTAGAGAAATATAAGTAAGTATATTGATACTGTAAGAGGAAAAAAAGGAAAGAGAAATGTAGCTTCAAGGTAACTGTCTGTGAAGCCAGGCATTACAATGTTCTCTGTCCTCCTCCAACAAATTCCTTGTGTAATTAGGTTCTTCTTCAATATTAGCCTTTATCCATCTATCCCCCCTGCAAATATACATTCCACATTATGGACACCACATAATAGGCAATAGATATATATAGAGAAGGGATCATATGAGAATGATATATAGTGAAAGAAATAAGAATGAGCCTGGATCATTAGATCTAACATATCAATGGTCTTAATCAAGTCAAATATTAATTGTGGCAGTCAAACTTGAGTGGCAGTTTTGTAAATAAGTGTATAATCTTTGGTCAAATATTAAAATTTGACCACTAAATAGGGACAAATTGGTCATTAAAATACAATCATCCAACTAACTCCACGTGAGCCCACTCCTTAATTATTAACCCCCCACTCTCTCTCACACACTAACACACACTCACATAAACCGGGGTCTTTATTTAAATAGCCTAGTCAAATGAAGTAATTGGCAAAATGACATTCTCAACATTTTCTTTATTTAAATGACCCATCCTTTTAAGTAAAGTTATATGAATAATGAAATACCTAAAATATCCTTATGAAATTCTTTTATAACAAAAATAAAAAATAAAAAGAAAAAAAAAACAGAACCCTTACCTGCGGACAGAGACGATCGGCTTCTCTTCAAGGGAAAAAAAAAAAAATTGA